AAGTTTGCTCGAACAAATGCACACGTCTCAAGATTTTATAGAACTTAAAATGAACAGGTTGCACAAAAATAGACACTAAAGAGAATGCATAAAAATGTTTATTTAGTATTTACTAACAAGTTTTTGTTAGTTCAGAATAGTCAATTTTTAACAACAAAATTAATAATAATAATAATAATAAAAGTGTTCTCATATATTTGATGATAATTTTATACTTTTATTTTTTTCTTATTCATTTACAGATTTCTATTATCATCATTTAAAATATATATAATAATAATTCTTAAAGTGGTACATTTGATGAGTAACTGTTCACTCCAGTATCCAGTGTAAAATATGTGTGAGCATAAGGGGCTCTGGTGTCTGGTACATTACATCATAGGCAACTTCACTGGTCCTCAATCATCTTCTAAATCTCTCACATGATCGCTCCAACTTACCATGCTCCTGTAAACCACTTCAGCTGGTGGGCTAACCTCACAGGAGGGGATGGTGTTAAAACAGCACCATTGGACAAAGGATGTTCTCGATGCAGCTCACTGGCCAGGATGGAAGGGTTCCCCAGATGAACTACAACAGCCACATGATCATGACTAAAGTGAGCCACCTAGTTGGAGAACATCAAGTGTAGTCTAACCTGGAGATGGATACGCTCCGCCAGGTTAAAACATTACATCAGTACCTCAACCCTTCTGGAGTTAAGGGCCAAAGCCAACAAGTTTTGGGATCAGTTGAATGATTACCAGAATACAGCTGACATTGATAATTATGTAAATAAAATAATAACAATATTCATTTTCTCTTATTTAATATCAATCCACATTTTTCAGTTACCTATTGTATCTTGGTCACATCCTCTGAATTCTGTTATTGTTTCTAGTGTGCTTTATGTGCTAGGGGAGATAACTGGTATTAGTTAATTTTTACGTGTTAATTCATCAAAGAAATGAGTTCTCTACTGCTATAATATCAATCGACCTCTAGACAGTTTCCTCACAGATGAAGTGAAGACTTAAGCCAACAAAGATGTGGTTCTTTAAAATGATGCTGAGAATATCATAGAAGAAGGAACATGTAAGCCATGAGAAAGTTTTAATAAAAAAAATAGGATCAAAAAGAACACATGTACTTAGAATCAGTTGAAATTTCTGGGACACATAATGAGAAAAGACAACTTAGAGAATTTGACACTCCCAGGATATACTGAATGCAAAAGGGGCAGTAGGAAAGAATGAATAACCTACCTAAAGGGCATGTGTAAATGGATGGCAGAACAGAGTGGGTGGTTTTAGTAAAAGGACAAATTTGAGAAAAAATAGGTTTTGAAAATGACAAAAAGAGAAAACAATACAAGAAGTAAAAAATAGCTTCATTGACGTTGACGACCTGCCTTGTCCCCTTTAGTCAAAAGTCTTCTCATCTCTACTGACCTGAGCTCTATTTATTTTAAAAATAAGGTTCACCTTTGCCTCACTATTCAGGATGTTATTAGAGCTTGAGACCACGTCTCTCACTGGTCAATATATATATAAAAAAATAATTTTTCATAAACTGGAAATGGATCCTTCAAAAATTTTGGTGGGTTTTAACTGCTGAGCTGAAAAATATATACATTGTAACAATTTTTACACAAATCATCTGGCGTTCATAAAAATACACTTCTCTCCAAAAACCATGTATTAAAAAAAAAGCAACCTAGACAATTAAACATTTATTTATACAAGAATAACATTTTTAAAATAATAAAAATGAAATTTATATAAATCTTCTAGTCATAAATTTAATAGGCCTTTGGGACTGCTGCTATTCAGTTTGAATGTGGCTAAGAAACCATAACACTACTGATGACGCTAGAGGCAAAAAGCATCAGACTTTTGAACAGAAATATGATGAGAACAGAATTTCAATATGGAAATATCTTAATAAATAAATGTTTTCTATTAAATTATCAAAATGGTTTAATTCTTTATGATACTATAAAATGATTTGCTTCCATTCTCAAATTGAAAAGAAAATAATCGGAATAGGTTCTTAAAGATTACCTGTCTTTATAGAACTGGTTCCTGGAAATTTGTGATGCAATTATTGGTTAGATCATAAAATACTATGTGGTGTCCTTCTTTAGGTGACATACATGATGCACATTTGGGCAATCATGTCTCTTTTTGATTCATGAATGACTTGGCAGAAGATTTCCAGCAGTAGGCTCTCATTACAACCAAGGGTGTCCTGCTATTTAATCCATAGTTGGAGGAGAAGCGATGGATTCATATCTTTTTCAAGAATATTTGCATATAAGTGAATGTAACAAACACAACTGGAATTCAAATTCAGCTGTTTGATTTCCTCTTTCAAGCCCCAATTTCTACCACACTGGTACACATCCAACCTTACAGCACCTGGTATTCCCAAGCAGTCACCCATTTAAGTACTGACCAGGTTCAATATTGCTTACATTCTGCAATCAGATGAGATTCCTAAGTAGTCACTCATCTAGGTACTGACCAGGTTCAATGTTGTTCAATTTTGGCCATAAATAAATTTAGTCATAATGAACACAAAAACAATAATTACATTAAATAACCTGTTATGGTGAAACACACCTATTCTATAGTTAATAGACTCTCCCACCTAATATAAGTAGGAGTAGTAAGAGAAATGAGGGTCAGTCGATGTCAGACGACAGTAGTTGACAGTTAGTCGAATACGAAAGTAGTCAGCGACCACAAGATTACTCTGCGTAATACCTATTATATCAAGTTCCCAACGTCTTGTACGTCGAACCTATTTTAGGACCTATTTAGTACAAATACAAGCCTCCACTGTGAAATAACTCCACAACAGAACCTCAATATGAATCCCAACTCATCTAGGTATTGACCAGGTTTTCTTTTGTCCTTAAGTAATAAATTGGTCACCCAAAAATAACTATATATTAATATCCTGCTTACAGCCACATCATGTTGAATCAGTTCCTGTATGATCCCTGAAGTTAAGCAATGTTGAGCATGTTCAGTACCTAGATTGGTGACCAAGTGCTGTAAGCTTGGATATGTGGTGGTTTGGTGGATAATGGGTCAGAATTGTTAATCACCTAGATTGGTGACCAAGTGCTGTAAGCTTGGATATGTGGTGGTTTGGTGGATAATGGGTCAGAATTGTTAATCAGAGAGCAGAGTTCCCATTTCAGTTGTGTTTGTTGTATTCACTTACATGCAAATAACCTTGGAAAAGGTATGAATCTACCTCCCCCCCCCAGCAGTGGGTTAATTAGTTAGACTTGTATCACTAAATCATTATTATCTAAAAAAAAAAGTTTTTACAATCTAAAAATATTTCCTGGATTTAAATAACTTGCAAAATGTTGATAAGCTGTAGAAAATGAATGAATGAGTTAATTAGTCCTTAGGTGCTATCACCCATCTGGGCAATTACCAAGCTCAATGTTGCTTAACTTTGGTGATCGGATGATATGGCTGTAAGTACACCATGTGGTACAAGAAACTAATATTTTATATTTGTTAGTTTATTAGTCAATTGATCAATTAATTATGTTTTAATCAATTATGTATTTATTGATTATCTTTGTTGATTAACTGATTAGTCTGTGAGTGTGTAATCCTTGATCTGGTCACTGAGATAATTTTTCTGTCACAAATTCTGTCACACAAATTTTATAACCCCACTTCCAGAAATGACAGAACCACTCTCTTTTCCACTTTCCAACATATGGCATTCAGATGCGTTTTTGCAGTGTCACCTATAAAATAAGTACTTTGGTCATTCTAACTCAATGCAATGCTGACTTGAGCTTAACCATTTTAACCATTCTTATCCTTACTTACCCTAACTTATTCCTGGACCCAAAAAAGAAAACAGACATACCTAAAGGACATTGAGAACTTTGTTTCCCTACAGTTCCTATAACAAAAAAGAATAAATGGTTTTTATTAAAATACCCAAGTTTTTGTTGCTTCTACACAATAGCATGCAGAAGGGGGGAGAGGGGGTGTGACAGCTCCAGGCATTCATATTGGGAGAGCATCCAATCAAAGAGTGAAATAAAAATTTAACTTGAATAAAGTGTTTATTTCATGTTTCCTCTGTTTTTACATATTTAAAATATCTTCCTTTCTCACATTTCTCAATACTAGACTATCTAGGCCCTCCCTACTTGTTTCTTAGCAGCATGCAATCAAGGGGTTGGCCCTGGGTATCACCAAACCTCTGCACATTACTGATTCTATATTAATTGTTTATATGAGAACATACACACAATTACCATACACCAACACATGCAACTTTTAAACTCCATAATGTGTTATTTAAAACTAAAACATATTTTGGATTGTAAGAATAATTCTTGTTAAGTGCATTAACAATTTTTTTTTAGATAACAATGATTTTTCCAAATAGAAGTCCTCCTATTTACCCCATAGCTTAAGGAAGAAGGGATGGATTCATACCTTTCACAAGGATATTTTCATATAAGAAAATGTAATGAACTTGATTAGAATTCAAACTCAGCACTTTGAAACCACATTGAAAAGTTTATTTTTTATTCGGTTGAGATAGCTCGGACTTTTATGAGTCTATCACGCCAACCATCAAGGTTGAAAGATCATTAGGGAGGCATTTTGTTTTATAACATAGCTGGTCAGTGTTGGTGGTTACTGGGTGACCAAGCTGTCTTGCTCCATGGCTAGGTGTCCAGAGCAGCAGATCACTTGTGAATTCTTGTTTTGCTTGCCAGCAGTGTCCATCAAAGTGCATTTTGTGTATGTATTTATAAGATTGTAAAAATATTAGGGATGGGTCCATAGAGCTGTGATTTTGTTGGATGTTGTCTCCAAGAGATGTTAAGTATAACTCACATCATCTGAGTGTAGGTTCTATCAAGCTTAGTGTGTAGGGTTTTAGTTAATGTCCAGGCAGTGTGTTTACATTTGTTTACATTGTTTTGATGACATTACATAATATTAATCCTTGACTATAATGGCTTACAGCCATATCATGTTGAAACACCAGTTTGCATACAATCACCAAGGTTAAGCAATGTTGAGCCTAGTCAGTACCAAGATGGGTGATTGCTTGGAAATACCAGGTGCTGTAAGCTTGGATGTGTGAGTGGTGTAATGGATAATGGTTTGGAATTGGAAATCAAAGAACCAAATTCCAATTCCAGTTAGGTTCATTATATTCACTTATGTTCTTCTAAACCATGTTCTGCTATCCATTTACTAAAGCTCACTAAATAGGTTATGCATTGTTTTCCTTCATCCCTCTTGCCTTCAATCTCTCCAGTAAGTATCAAACCATCATTCCTCATTGTGTGCCCTAGAAATTTCAGCTGTCTCTTCCTGATGTTAAGTATAAGTTTCTTTTTTGCTTCGATTTCTCTAAAACTTCATCATTACTCACATGTTCTATCCATGGTATCCTCAGCATCCTTGTGTAGAACAACATTTCTGTTGCTTCAAGCCTCTTTTTTATCTTTGATGAGATTGTCCAGCATTCATGGCCATATCAGAGCAAAGATATCATGTAACAGTTAAATACTTTTTTCTTTCTTTCGAACAAAATGTTTCTTTTTGATACTTTGCTTAGTTTTTGAATGCATCTTTGGCTATTCCAATGCATCTTCAGATTTCAGTGTCACATTTTCCACCCTCTGTTAAAACAATTCCCTGATACTTAAACTGTTGTACTTGTTTGATTTTAGTATCTGCAATTTGTAAGTTGCATGTTGGGCTGTTACTTATTTGAAAAGCAAGAAATGTTTGTTTTTTTAAATTAAATAAAATTAATTAAATTATATTGTTTTGCCACTCAGAGATTTTAATAGAAAAACTAATAAAAATCATACAGAATAGCAGAAGTTTATGGTATATAGAGATGAAGGTTGGACTAATACATAAGTAAAGGCCAAATTTACTGTCTATAGTACCATTTTATTGTTGACTCCATTTGGTTACAGTGGTTAAAGTGGGTGACTATTGTCTTAGTCCTTTTTGTTATTTTAGACTTCATATAGGGTCATTGCATTTTGGGCTGACAGAAATTAATTTGTTGAATTCATTCTTTCTCCTTCTTCTTCTGGAATTGTATATCCAGTCAAATTCAACATCCAATGAATCCCTAACACTTGTGTCTCAAACTGCTACATCAAACCAATTTCCCATTTCTTCTGCTTCTGCTGTGCACGTAGTTTTTTCTTCTTTTTATTGGGCCTAACACATCCGTGTTTTCCATTTGATTTTTGGTGAGATGTGTTGTCATTGGTTATTTTTTTATAATGCTCAATGACCCACATAAGCTGGGTTCTGTTAGTTACCGAGGATAGGAACAATAGAAGGAAAGAAAGGGAGTATGTGTATAAGAGAAGAGAGAGAGTTTTCTTTGTCACTCTCTTAGTAAAAAGAAAAGTGTATATTTCCTTATAGTGTTACCACTACCTAATCCTACTACAAGTTTTTTTACTTACTAAAACAAAATAACAAATTTTGTTGTGTATGCATCAGCTTGTTCTTTGAGTTTGCAATAACCCATATCACCAGGCATACCTTTTCTTTATTGCACTGCAATACCATCTGCACCCTTGGACACATCCATCTTTGCTGCTTGTTGATAGATTTGAGCTAGGGAAGGGTCAGACATCATTGACATAGAGTAGCACCCCATCCACTAGAACTGACTGTAGACTGACAATCCCAGTGATCTATTAAAAGTCAAATGTAAATAACACAGGAGACAATTCAGCAGATGACGCTTTTACCAAAATGAAACTTGGAAAGAACACAATTGTACTTTTGCAATTAATTAAAATTTTAAAACATAAAATAAATATTTATGTTCTTTACTTATACACCTTCAAACTGATTCCAAAGTTGTCCTCTAAATTTAAATATAAAAATAGATTTAACAAAGTCTTTCTGATTAGACCTATTCAATATTAAAAGTATTTTCTAAAAATCATTGCTCAAAGCATTTTGCGATCTTACATGTTCATTAGGATTATTTGTAAATATGCTTGTTGATTTGTAATAATTTTAAATTCTTTAAATTCTTGTTTATATGTATATGAAGCAAAATTTAAAAAAACATCTCAATTATAAAGATAGAAAATGTTTTAAAAATACTATTTAATTGTTTCTACATTTGTTAACATACAATATACACATATTGTGTAATAAAGGTTACATATTTGCTAGATGGAAGTTGAATTTTAAAACTTAATCCTAAGAAGAAAAATAGCTCTAAAAAATGAGAAAAAGAAGAAAACTTAACTTTTAAAAAAAGAGAAAACGTAATTTGTTACAGTTATTCATTCTTTTTCTTGTGTATATTTCTGTTTTTCTTTTAAGAAATCACTGAACTTCCAGTCTTTTACAGGATCAAGTGAGATGTGTGTGAGATGTAATGGATAGCAGCCTGGAATGAGAATGCAGAGAACCAAGTTCAAATACCAGCCTGCTTCATTACGTTCACTTACACACAAATATCCTTGGGAAAAGTATGAATCCATCTCTTCTCCCACCAGCTATGGGTTAAATAGTAGAACGTGTACCTGGAAAGATCATCATCATTCTCAAAAATGTGTTAAAGTAATATTCACTTACAGGGAGTCAAAATGGTAATAACAGTCTTTTTGACACACCATTTTTTGGAGTGTTTTTTGCAAGCACAAAGGTTAAACATTGCCAAAAATTGATTGAATTTATAGAAGATGGGGTAATCTTTAACTATTGTACCTGCAACAAAATTGTCTATCAAAATAATGGTTTTTCCCTTGATACTGCTATTAGTTTAACAACCCTCACTCCTTGCTAATGTTTATTGTTTTAAAAAGCAATGATTAGAATTTTAATAAAACCTAAACATATGAAAATGAATTTATATATTTTCTTTGTTCTTGGGAATCAACAACAAAAATAATAAACACTATTTATTTATTAGATTCTTTATTTACACTATTTAGCAGTGTTAAGGGAAAATTTTCCTAAGGACACACTGTTTTTTTGTAGGCATGAAGGTTAAAGATTGTGGGAAATGGTGTATGGGGCAAAGGTTCTGAAATAAGGATAGTTTTATCAACTATATTCAGATCTTGTTTACCAATGTGTTTGGATTAAAAACGTTAAATCTGTTGGGTTTTTTTGTTTTTTTTTTTATTAATTATCATCCTTACTTTATTTTCTGCAAACAATATTCTTTTAATATTGTCTTTGTAATTTTAAAAACTGTTGTGAGTCCCTCAAGAACTATTTCCACACTCTCACTTTTTAAGTCCTCCTCTCATAGAACTCGGCTCATATATCTGTTACCATTATACTACAAGAGACAAATTAATATTTAAAATAAATCTGGTTTTAACTTGGAAATTTTTTTCAAATTATTTTCTATGAAAAGCAAATGATTAAAATTAAATATAATGGTTTATAAGTTACAAATTAACTACAATGTACAAAATATATACAAATATAACTTGAATAAAGTGTTAATGCATGATACCCTCACACTAATTGTGGTAAAAAAATATGCAGGATTGTAAAATAATATGTAACAGACTATTTGCTTATTTATACTAACCATACTCACACTAAGATTGTCTATATTTCTGAGATTACCTGGTTAAGGCAGTGGAGAACTTGGAGAGGGGAATTAACAGGAGATAACTGACAACTGACATCCATTAAACATGGCACATGGAACTAGAACAGTCTACCCTAGTGAGCGAAATGAAGGGTTCAGTTCAACATTTCAACCACCTGAAGGCCGGAGCGTAAAACGGCTGAAATGTTGTAATAAATATGGCGACAAAGATGAGAACAATAGTCCGAATAATGTAAATAGTGTTTACACTAAGATATTTACTAATCTTAGCATAGTTTGGCGAAGAAAGAGCATCCAGGGAAAATCAAATTCACTACTCAGTAATAATTGTGAGACTGATGGGGTTACCTATTTAACACCATTTTAACATAAAATATCTTTACTTTCTGATCATTGTTTTTATAAAAATTTTAAATTTGAAGATGACTATTCTCAATTTTAAGTTACTCAAGGTGTTTACCAGCAGTGATGAGTCAGAATGTCACTGACTTTCAGCAAATTCATTATGAAACACAATGAAAAGAAAAGCCCACTATACCAACCTCTCCCAAACAGGGCAGATTTCCCGAATGTATTGAACGAGTGAATATTTCAATTTTTTAAATTGTCAAAAAAACAATAATTATAACATGAATTGGGTGTGCAGAATACAGTAGTTGGTATATGTGAGTGGCTGTTACCATCTCTTGTCTGTGTGCCAGAGGTCACTTGACTGCCTGTGATAATGACGGTGTTTGGTTAGCTTGCAGGCCAGTACTCTTGCTTCCACACCTGTCAGTGCCCATCTCTTTCTTGTTGACACACAGTAGTCATCATTATAAGCAAATTTGCTAGCTAGATATATGTGTGAAATCGTCAATGAGAAGTGGCATTCAGTTTAGATGGAACAATACTACCAATCATGTCAGGTATGGCAGCACAGGTGGCTTGGCTGTGACGAGCAGTCCAATTTTTAGCCATAATCACCGACGCATTCACTGGCTGGCAGAGTATGTAGCAATATGTTGGATCATCCCTAATGTTCAATGATCCCAGACTTTTGGTATTTATAAAAATTTTCAATATGATGTAGATCAGTATTTCCAACCATTTTTCAACCAGCGCCCCCTTTGGACACAAAATTTTTTGTCAATGCCCTCTTGTCAAATTAAATTTCTAATATTATACTGAAGCAATAATACTTAAGTGTTATCTTTCATAGCAAGATAACACTTAAGTATTATTGCAAAAATAATTTAATATTGTTTTCATTTCTTTTATAAATGCCAATGATTAAAATGCTAAAAAACAACTTTTACTTGATAGCTTATTGTACTGTTTTCAATGCGATGGTTGACTTTGGTGCTTACTGGCTAAGGCTCTTACTCTAGGTACCATACTGCTTAGAAGTAATCATAGATTTCCTCATTTTGTAATTTGCAGGCAGTTTCTTTCTTTAGTAAGAAGCTGTGTAACTGCATTGAAATCACATTCAGCCATAGAGGAAGTTGGAAAAGCAATG